CAAGACCGTGAGTTTAGCTTGCAGAGACAACTCAAAGRGGTATTGCAGACACCCCGAAATCAGTGCTAGTAAACAAGGCCTGAGGGTCTGCCTAAAGCAAGGGGTCTGGCATTTATGCATCCATGGTTTTCTTTGGCTTGATTCTGAATCTATTCAATTAATGCGAGGTATTCAGAAAAGACAGGTCAGGACATACTGAATCAGACCCTCAGTTTGAAAGGGGCAAATCTTAGGGGAAGTGGTTGAAACAATTAAAACAGCAGATAATTACAAAGGGCACTGGCTAGCAGTCAGATCCGATGATGAACAGATTTCCAGAGCTTCAGAAAGCAAACAACAATACATCAGAAGGCAAAATAACACAGGAAACAATGAACATGCAAACAAAAATCTCCCAGCTTCTTTTAAAATGAATTTAAGTTAGGCCAGTTTGCCGAGACGTTTTTGTTTGCATATTCATTTGTTTCCTGTGTCAGTTCCCTTTGCTGGCAAGGTTGCGAACAAGCAWTATCAGGACTACATCCTACTGGATATTTTTGTGTAAAAACCATTAAAAGCACCCAACACAGAGCCAGTCATCAATAAGTAACAACAACAACTAAGTGCAGAAGCTTCAGAGCAAGAAAGGGCTTATGGTCTGAGCGAGGGAAGGGCTTCAAAAAACCCAAGGGGATAAACATCTTGGACTTAGGAAGGAAACTGCTAGGTGACCTCACTGCCTTTTTCAGATACCTTCAGGAAAAAGTGCAGCTCTTTAGATTGACCCAGCTATTTTCTCTCTGGGAATCCACTTGAATATTGCTCCTTCCTTTGACAGATCTTCTCCAAAAAAGCACCGGAAGCAAAGATCTGCTTTTTTGAAGCTTGACTACTTCAACAGGAAAAAACAACAAGATGGTTTTTCATTTCTATGAACACCCTGAGAACAGGCAGCAGCCATATATCTTGCTCTACCAAATGGTTAATATATCCAGAAGAAGCACAAAAAAACCTTCAGTACTCATTTTGTTTGGAGATATTTCCTCTGTGTATCTTTCTGACCACTTAAGTCGTTCCATAGGAAGAGGCAGCATACTCCACTTTATCAAAGGGCACTAAGCAGAGCCTTCAGCTTTTGTAAATTTTAACAGCTTTCTATTAGCATGGTGCTAAGCTACCACATTGCAACTACAACTTTGAATCCGACTGATTTGTAGCTAATCAGCTGAGATGCAAAAAGGCAGAATTCATGTCAGTCTTCACTGTAGAGGAGCACTTAGGGGAATTGAACTGCTAAATACMTCTTAAGAGATGCTGACTGCTCTTCTRGCTTCTAGGCTGTAGTATCATAGGAGAGRACAAGACTCCCCAGAAATGAAATTTGGTCCTACAGTGAGATAAACGCTGGAACTACATTTGCAGAAAAATAGGAGGAATTACTGGATGTCTAATTTCCATGTAGAATTACTCACATGAAGTGGCTTGAGTCGTTTTATAGTTGACAAATTTATCAGCAAATCTAATAGTTCAGAGAATGAGTTTTTTACCATATATATACAATACTGAATATGCAAGATTTGCATATTTTGCCATTTTTGGTCATATTTTGTTTTCAATTATTTTGGGTCTTGCTATTTATTTCAGATATTTGTGCATAGCCAGGAATTTCTGACTGTCTGCCATAGAATTATCAAGACATAAGCATTTGAAAAACATTAAAATACTTATCTATCATAAAAAAGGTGGCATATGTGACATTTCAAAATACAAGTTATATGTTACCATACATACATTACAAAGGGGTTATACATTACCAAGACAGCTTTTAGGGTGGATTTATATAAGCAATGGCCTAACTATATATGAAGAACTATAACAAGATCATCTGTATAAAGAAAGAACAAAATATCTGCCCTGATCTTGACAAAGGAAGATTTCCCTAAGAAAAAGAGCAATTTGTTTCCAGAGTCTGTAACGCAGTTTTTGGACACAAGGTATTGTTCTGATACAAGCTCTTTCCAAACACTTTGTAGAATTACAGATTGTATAAAACAGAAACAAGTGAATTCAGAAACAGGTGCCCTGAGCTTTTAAAACAGAGGCCTCATAAATAGCATGCAGGCATTAGAAAACCTGACAATTTCACAAAATATAAGAGGAAGGAACATTAACATAGGATTTGGAGGAATCCAATTCAAAAAAAACAGTAGATATTAAAAAGAAGTATCAAAAAAGAAACAACAGTGGGGTTTTTTGAATGATTACTCCATTGTTAGACATTGGGGAGTTATAAAACTTTCCTGCTCATTCTCACTGCTATAACTTTCCTACATTTCTACTAATACCCAAGCTGCTGTTGTAATGTAATTTTACCTTATTTCACTGCTTGTCCAGCTCTTCTGATGAGATAAGCATTTCCAACAGAGGTGAAACTTGAGGTGACGATTATTTACAAGACAGACCAGACACAGAGTGTGAACAGCACAAGTTAAAATAAAGAAAGGAGGAAAAAAAAMCATGTATACTTTTCACTCCTTGGATTCAGACCAGGAAAGCAAGATCCTAGCAGGATCTCACTACTGAGATGTATTTGAAATAGCAGGCAGTCACTTCAGCTCATGAACATCCATAAAGTTTCATTCCAAGAAACCCAGGCCAAAATTGGCATCCTGATTACACTGAAGAGGAGGATAATTTCATTTATGGTGCAGCTACTTGAGCTGTGCTAAGAATTGAYCAGTTTGAACCTCATGGGTGACCTTTTACCAGTGACATAGAGGACGTCTACACTCTTTGAGAATGCACCAAAGCTAGTTTAGGCAGTAGCATTATGTCCAGAATCAATATAACTGTGAAATTACAGTGCTTTGCCATGGCTGCTTTCCTTTTTAGCAGAACTCAGCACAATATTAACACAGCTACCCTGCCTGCTGACACTCTGAAAGACACAGGCTGACAGACCATCTCTTTCAGAGGCAATTTCAGTTACTTTATCACATTCCCAATCTGAAAAAAAAAAAGTCAGTCTCTCTCTGCTTCTCTCTTACCTGTTTCTAAAGCACTGAATAGCGAGAATTCCTCTCCCACTCCTTTTTTGGGAGTTCTTCCTTGTTCATCTTTGTTCAGTAAGTGGCACTGCAATATCACCAATCCTATTGTTGATCACAACTCCTCTTGTGATTCCTATCGTTACTACTGCTTCTATTACTATTATTTGTTATCTTATACCAGATCATACGATTACCTCCTACTTCTTACTTTTATTCATGGCACTATCCTTGACCGCTTTGTTGGCCGTATGTTTTGTCAGCATTGCTTTACTGGAAACGCTATATCCTTCTCAGAACATGTTGGGAAAGTAAGAACAGGGTGGTTATTTTTGGTATAGCACATTTTGTCACACCAGGGAGGAAGAGGTTACATTGCAAGGACAAATGTGTCATGATTTCCAGGATACACCAATCTGTTTAGAAGCCATAACTGCAGGTGTGAGAGCTCGTGGCACCACACTAGCGTCCACAGCAGGATGCTAGCGAGAGCCTTAGGTGAATGACTCTACAGCGACAAACTTTGATGACTCAGGCTCATGCTGAGAAAAGTAGTTGTGCTGAAGTCATGGAATAAAGTAGAAAACAATATATCCTACTCAATTGTTCTCTTTGGGTTGTTTTTAGGTATTACGGACCTCAGAATCACTTCTATTTCCAGCAGAGCTCTTATCAATTTACATGAGCAGAGAATTTGGCCTTCCCTCTCAGCAACACCAAACGTCAGTCTCAGTTACGTCTGTGATAAATACGAAGTTACTCTGTTCTTTTGAGCTGAAAGTACTGAATGCAAACCCAATAGATGTATCCTAGTTTTATAGGGAGATAAAAGAAAACAGGCTTCATGTAAGCACTTAAGGTCCAAAACTAACACACAACAAAAGGAGTAATCTTGTAAATGAATTATTGGAACTGAACAAATATGGGAAATAAAAAGCTCTGTAGGCAAGGAGAGAAGAGTTAAGATACTCTGCCTGGAACTGCAATCTATTTTGTTCTCCCAGAAGAAGCTGTCCTAGACATGTTATACCAGCTGCTGTCTATGATATATGCCCCTGCCTCCCCATATGCTTTATGTATATGCTAGCATATCACTCTGGAGTCAGCCAGCAGCTTTAAAATTGTCGCTTTGATAGCTCACCTTCTGACACTCCCCACCCTCTGTGCTTGTGAACTTAATTTAAAGTCTCAACTCTACTTATATACATATAGAGGCAAACCCAAAATGGTATTTTACAGTGACTATTGGGCTATCAACTATTTTCTGGGCAGTGCTGCAACACAGAACTCTGGCATGAGCTAATACAGATGGTTTCATCGGCCTGTGGCCTGTAGGGACAGAAGAGATATCATGATCATGTAGTTTGATACTCTGCACTATACAGGCCATAGATTTTCATCTGGTGATTCATAGATTRATATCTTTGGGGCCACTCAGGCCACAGAATGATATTGAACTAATAACTGGTGTTTGACTCATAAATCTTCCAGCAAGGTGTTCCAGCTATTGGTTGGAAGATTTCRAGAAATAGAAAATTCATACTTTTTCTCAGTGCCCTGTTGCAAATCTTGACTGTTAAGTAATTGTCCCTTACTTCTCATTTGTTTAAATACACAGTTATTAATTCCCGTTATATTTTACTTGATTCAAAACCCATTTAGCACTTTTTTTCCTCTTCCCATGGAGATATCTGCAAGCAATAATTATGGGACCTTTTGATTTTCTTTTTGATAAGCTAAACATATTTCTTCAGCAAGGCCTTGGTCTCGTATAAATCCTAAACCTGTTATATTCAAAGATATTTATCTTCCATTTTATCCAAATGGAAAAGACAAAGCTCCTTCATGATGATGCTTCTTGAATCAGTTCGAGTTTTCCTGAGTCACAGCATCTTCTGAGGCTCTGCTTCAGACCAGCTAACACATGTAATTCAGCTACAAAGATCTGTAACAGGGAATGGTCCAGCCACATTACATGTGGTGTAATRTAAAGTTCAATTTAGTCATCGCTGATCTTTGCTTTTGCTGGAGTCTCCATTAGGGATGAGCAATGTCAGAAACCTGGAATTTTCATTACAACCGAATGAGATACAGTAAAGAAGACAGTAACCATCTCCTTAGATTTGGTGGCCCTATTCTGTGGAGCATTAGGTTTTCTCTACATTTAGGTAAGTGCAGGTAGCAGATTTCTCTCTTACCACAGAATTAAAGAAGATGCACTGTCTTCTAGACCACAAATGAAATATATTACACATTTCTTAACCCAGAAGAAATGGGAAAATATTTGCTTTCCTTGAAACATTGACAGAATTAGCTCAAACCACTACAGTTATCAGAAGAAGTGAGTTTGGCCATTGGGCCTTCACCTTGGATCTTTTATAAAGATCTGTAAATTATATTTCCTTTTCTTCTTCTTTTATTTATTTTTTTATTACCCAGGGAATTCAGACAGGCTAAGTAAGGTGGCAAAAATCCCCATACAGTCATTGGAGGAAAATTAAATGTCACCCAAAGGCAAGTTTGCCTATCAAAGAGGTACTCCACCTCCCCCCATCTACATTCATCTGTATGATGGTCAGACTCTCTCCATCCTGCGTGGGATCCCACGCTGACCTCATATAACAGAAACAGGGACACAGAGGACATCCAAACAGAGACCTGAATAAGGCCTGTATAGCAAGAGTTCTGCATTCACATCACCAAATCTGCTTTTCAAAACAGGYTCTGGATGGTGAAAGACAAAGGAAGAGACATAATCACTGAGTGGCCAGGGAACCTACCCAGAAAGTCAGAGTCCCCAGGCTCTCCCTGCACCCGCCGCCCCATCCTAGGAATGTGTAATTTCAGTTATCACAGAATAGTTGAGTTTGAAGAGGCCTCTGGAGATCATTGGGTCCAGCAGAGAGGTTTAAGCACAACATTGTGGCATAACCCAAACAGAAGAGCACTATGAACAGTGGAATGATAAATACTAAACTAAATACTTATCAACACTTATCTGTGGCAAGGATAGCAGCAAAGAATTAAGAGGGCATGCAGAGACATGTGTCTTAAATGCTAGAATCTTGCAAATGTTTGCACAAATTTTACAAGAACACTATGCTGAGATTGTTTTTAGTCTGACACAGCTGTGTGCTCACTTWTAGTTTAAGAAATTTAAGGACAGCAGATTTTTAGCTAATTTAGGTTAAACTAATGCAACTCCTACATGAAAAAAGCCCCTTCTACCTCAGTATTATGGATATATTTCTATGCAATATTTGCAATGCAGAATGCTTTTAAATCGTTTTTCCTTAGTGAACAAAAATATCAAAATCTCTAACCTTCTCTGTCAGTATACTATAGGTGTTCTTCTATTCCTCTCAGGAATACAAATAATTGTTATCTCTCTGCCAGGAAATTATGCAATTTTGCAGTATCAACTCACTACCACAGTATGGAGAATTGCTTGAAATAGTTTTTCTTCTGCTATTAGGAGAAACCCACGAATAGAATTACCCCCACAAACCTCCCAGAACTTGAAAGACAGTGATCTTACACTGCTACCAAGTTGCACATAAGTATATATATTTTATAAGGGATATGAAATTAATATGTATATATTGTCCATTTAATTCACCACTGAATTTACTAGAAGTCAGTCAACAGTGAATTTAATGGACATGTTATTGATAACTACGGAGTTAGTGGTTCATATAAATGCACAGCAAATTCATTACAAAGTGCAGCTGACTGGATGCAGCTGTTCACACCCTCAATTTCTAAGCCAGACGGACAGCACGATAGTTGTGCTGGATGCTCAGAGATTTGAGAGAAACTGAATGGGGAGAGCACGGGGTCAGGTAATTCTGAGCTTGGGACGGCAGCAAAAGAAGTAATGAGCAACATGAGGAAGAAAGAGGATAACGTTAGTTTGTGGAGAGGTTTCCAGCATTTTTAGGCATGGACTGTGGTTTTGAGTGTATTAGGAGGACAAATTATCAGCCTCTATATTAAGTATGATTTTATGAATAGACAATATCCAGGTACTTTTTTCAGCAAGATCAGACACCAGCAGAATGCTACTGTTTTCTTTTCCTTTTAAAGTTTTAACTGAGATATTCTAAGCTTGATCATTCACAGGGGATTTGTCTTCAGATTCTCTAGCTATCTTGGAGTCCTTTTTTCTTTCCTTTACTTCCACATCTGCGAAGTTTACATCACTGTTCACTAAGATATCAAATGTATGTATCAAATGTGTGATCTCACAGCCCAAGGATTATTTTAGGCCAGTTACAGCAAAAACCTGAAACCTTGAAGATTTTACAGGAAAAAAATACACATATATGTATTATTTAATGTTAGTGAAATTCAGTTACCTGGAGGTTTAGTCTCAGTTCTAAGCCTGAAAGAGGAAGATCTAACATCTGATACATGATAAAGAGAGGGAAAACTTGTTGTTTGCAATTACTCTTCTTTAGTTGAAGTTAACTACTTCATTTGAAATATTTCTAGACTTTAGACTAGAACTTATATATCTTCATTTCACCATCAAAAACATATCTAAAGTCATATTCTAAATACTCTAAGGCAATACTGATAAAATATTGCTGAGCATGCTAGAGCTGAAAGCAACCAGTCTAACTTATGGAAATATTAACAAGGAATGCAGTGACTAGAAATCAGGAGATGTTTTCAGAGAAAGGCCAAGATTTAAATTGTCAAAAACTTAAGAAACAGTAAAAGAAATAAAATAAATCAAAATATATTCAGCTGTAATTACTATAGTCTTCAAGTAATTAAAAAATTAGGTCATGATGTATAATATGCAATAATACCAATTAAGCTATTGACCGTGTGGCAGGTGATGGCAAGTGAAATTTCAAATGATGGAATACTGATGTATCCCTTAGTATACAATACTCATTCATACTTCATGGTGCGTATAATTCATAAGTGTTAATAAATAAGTATTTGACTATCCAGTATTCCAAAGCAAATCAGCAATCTTAAATGGTAATGGCAGGGGCTCTGTCTATTTGCATTTACTAAGTACAAGAGGAGTGTCCTCTTGGAGGAGTTCAAAAGGTTATTAGAATTCACAGAGAAGAATTAAATATTACTAAAAATGAGGCAACACCCTTTATGTCTGGATCACAGCAAAGATTTTTTTTTTTCCTTGGGGAGAAACCAGATATTTRGATGTGTGCATTTCATCATATCTAATTTTAGCTATAAAATGAATCATCTTCTAGAAGTCTCTCCTTCTCCTTTAAGAGAAGATCCTTCTTCCCTCTCCTTCTCTAAARGGAATGCAGAGGACTAGAATAGACTGCATGACTAATAATATTTCAGTGACTGAAGTTACGTAAGATGAGACTAACCCCTTACCTTTAAAGAAGCTTCTTCAAAAGACTCACTCATTGTGGAGTCTGACTATAATCAGGAAATTTAATTTGGGTGATGTGGTTGAGGAAGTGTTCACATGTGAATATTTATATGAAGCATTAAATAATCAGGAAAGTCCTTAAGCATGCCTTCAACTTGGAAAGAGACCTAAGCACGTGCTCAAAATTAATAATGTACTTTATGTTTTCTTGAATGAAGCTAGACATATGGATACAYTTAAGTACTTTCCTAATACCAGGTTGAACTCCCAGAGATGAACCCATAGCTCATCTCCAGTTTTTCCAGTTTCTCTAGTTTTTCCAGTTTTCACTGAGTGTTTGAAAAACATCTAAAAGGAACCCAGGATACAGGAGATTTCTGAACCAAGATCTTTCCCAAAACATCCTGACCTAAACCAGTTCCACTCCATTCCTGTCACAGCCAGATCATTTTCCAGGCTGATTTCACAGGCAGGAATTCATATTAATCTTCTTGATAGAAAAAAATATATGTTTAGATTATTCAGATATTTCTTCYTGCAGTTACATTTATTGACCTGACTTAGAACTTCCTGGGCGGCRTTTTGATTTAATGAGGAGGAAAGCTATTTCTACATAAAGCATTGCAAATTTTACAGTGAAGCATGTATGTATCAGTAGATAGAGTCTCTGTAACTCACCAGAAGAAAGGAAGCTGGCAGAGTCTCACTGTGTCAGCAGAAGTAATCTCTACATCACATTCTCTTTCAGCATCTTCCATTTTCCTTGAAATTCAAGGCCTTACAATAGGAATGTAAACATGGTAAAAATAGATCTGTGGAACTTTAATATGAATATGCATAATGTTGCAGAAACAATCGCTTAAAATTGCAACATCATTCACACATATAATTTAAATGAATTTCTAGGAAGCCCATGACATTGGACTCGCAYTAAAAACAAAGCAAAACCTGGTTAGAGAATAATTTGGTCAGCAAAAAGTATTCACAGTGTTTCCCATACCCTGATTAGCTTTGAGTCTGGTAAGTCATTGCAGTTGGGCTTGTTGTAGTTCTAACATGTGTGTTTTGGGATTTTTTTCACTTTGTTTTGGTTTTTGCAACTGTATATTCTCCTGCTGARCATCAAAAATCTTGAAGTAGAGCCAGTCTGATACAGTGAACTGCCTTTGCAGCAGTAAAAATAAATAAATAAATCAACTTCCAATATATTATTAGAATAGACCATTCTAAATCTTTACAGCTTGAGCTAYACCCATTTTTGTATAAAAAATTATTTAACTCTTGCACAGGTAAAAGGCACAAAACCTGCAAATTAGCTGTTTTTCAAACCACATGCTCCTTTAGCAAGGAGAGACAAAACCAGTACACTCACTCACACCTTGGGGAACTCTTTCTATACAAACTTTGTAGAAACAATTTATCACCAGTGGCTTATCAGCTGCACTTAAGGGAGATGAACAATTTACTAGACTCAACCAGTTAAGCAGGGGGTGTGGGAAAAGGCATTTAAAATTCAAAGGGCAATAAGGCACCCACTTGTCTATAAAAAGCAGTGGGAATCACATGAATAATGTTTGGTTTTAGCCTTTAAGGTCCTCTCAGAGCTCTGGTTTTACAGTTGCTTTCTCATTTGCTTGCATTTTRTTCATATGAATGGTCTTTTGAAAGCAATGGGATCAACCGTTTCAGGATGTTAGGAAGTCAAGTCACATGGCAGCTGGGAACACACACATGTTCATTTGGTGATGGACAAGGAAAGTATTTTGGGAGGGGCTGTTTGGCTTTCAGTTTTTTTGTTGTTGTTTTTTAGTTTTTTTTTCCCTGATCATGCACCAGGACCAAATTAGAAATAAGTATTTCTGCACTGTTGCTTTTAAGTTTACACCAAGATTTTAACAAGGGCTCTCATAACCCTGTATCTGTTGATTTAGCACTTGTTCAGAAAAAGAGAGGAAAAAAACAACCCCAAATAACACAATCAGCATAGACATGCTCACTATTTTGGGAGCTTCCAAACCTCATGTTTGTTGGATTGCTCTGCCTTTAGGGAGATGCAGGATTGCTCTGCCTTCAGGGAGGGGGTAACCACTCACCTCTTTGGGACTAGTTGCTGAGCAGCTGTGGATTCATGAATTTCACAAACATTAGAGCCAGTGGTCACAGGAAAAAGCAGTACAGATCTGTACCAACAGTTTGCAGGCCCTTCCTCCCACTACAGTGCTGAGTTGTTGGAGTTTTTCTAATGAACTCCATCAGGATTGCTGAAAACATCTCCTTACCTAATTAATCACTAAACAAAGGAAGTGACTTGCCCAAATTAACCAACTCCCAAATTTTCATGATTGCTCAGGCACATGGCAGAAGGAAAAATCTTTAACAGTTTTAACAGTTTAAAGCTGTTTTGAAACAAATACAGCTAAAATCACATGAGTTATGAGTTTAAAAAAAAAAAAAAATCAAGCTTTCCTTGTTCCAGGAATTCTGAGGAGCTATTTTTAAAACAGTGATAGGAGTAGTGCTCAGCGACAGGGTCTTGGGGTCATCACATACAGCCTCATGGTGCTGTATTTTCCTTTGGTGCAGCTATGTATTTATCACATGCCAGTCTTATGTTCAGAGAGTGGATTTAAACACTGAAGTATCTCTGCTTTTATAATTAATTCAAAGCTATGGAAAGCAGTCCAATGACAATACCAAAGTCAGAGAATTTCAATATAATTATGATGAGGATTATATCAACCACATAACAAGCAAATTATTATGATGTGTCCTTTCAAAAATTATAAGGAGAGCATTACTTTGGTAGGATAATTATCTTYGAGCAAATTCAGCTGCAATGCTGCATAGACTCGCTTGTGGGAGGTAGAATTCACCTGAGGTGCATGAAAGAAGGAAAGGGAAGCAAAAGCCTTTTGCTCTCGCACATACAGAAAAGAAATGAGTCATAATTTGGTGTCCTATTATCCAGAAAACAAAAATGTCAAAAATGTAGCTGGTAAGCTAAAAATGACTGAAAATGCCTCAGTGCTGCAACGCTTCAGGAAATATCATCTGCCATCTGACTGGATTTTAATACCAGCTATAATTTAAGACGTAAATAATACATCAGACTACACAAATGTCAGGACTTCACACTTTCACTCTTTCGGCCATTTTCTTAATTTTGAAAAGATCCAGAAAGAAACGGCTTGTTGATATTATCATGCCAATAATATAGTTCCTACTAAACACGAAAGGTGGCGTGCTGAAAAACTGAAGGTCTAACCAAGCCAGTATCTTGRGCCTTTCCAGGGCCAGTAATAGGTGCTTAAGTAAAGTTTGCAAGGCCCAGAAGATTTTAGAGTGAAACTTCTCCTTGCACATTCTTCCAGCTACTGAAGCTTAATCTCTTTTCTCAGGGATTGTATGTCTTCATACCAAAGAGGCAGGAGTGCTCCTGACAGAGATTTCTGTTATAAATTTGCCTTTGGAATCTATTTATCCTCTTGGCATTCAGAACCTCTAGGAACAATGACTTCCACTGTTTAACTGAATATTGTGTGAGAAAGTCCTCCCTCTTGTTTGCTTTAAATTTCAGTGTGATAACTTTATTTTATTTACCTTTCAGTTCATTTGTTACGAAAAATCCACGTACCATAATTTGCTCTCAGATACTCTGAAGTCAGTAAATGTTCATAATATGATGTACCACCTTCATATCTACCCAACTTGCCCTGCTGCACTCTGCACTATCAAACAAGCTGCCAACATCCTGTTCATATATAGTACCAGCAGATGATGGGCTTTTCAGTGGTGCTGGGCATTAGAGGGGAAAAGAGACAGGAATTCAGTGGCTTTTGAGGCACCGTTTCTGATCTTTGGACATAACAGATGATCACAAAGAATTTGTGACACTTTGTCCATTGAGCTCATAACCCTATCTATTTTCCCTCTCTGGTGTCATTAAATGAACTGCTTTTTGTGGAGAGCCAAGTACAGYGCTTTACAGAAAATAGGGTCGACTTAAACACCCATTTCACTGATTATGTGTTACAGAGGGTGATGGAAAAGGGGTACATACTGTAGTCACATTGAAAAGTTTACTCAGAAACAGCTTATYTACAGATACTATAAAAGAATTTCCTTCAAATAAACTTTACAGCCTAATGGGGATGCACTCAGCACTAAATCCCTTAACAGTGAAATAATTGCAAAGTGGTGGGTATGCCACACTCAAAGGATATGAATAAAACCTGAAGGTTCAAGTACAAGCCAGAGGGTGATAAAAAGAAAGCTGTATGCCTAAGATGCAAAATAGGAAGGACAGCTATTTCCTTTCTCCAGAGTAAATCCTTACATATTGGCCTTATGTGAGGGTCAAGAGCTTGTTCAGTAATAATTACTGTTTTGACTGCAGAGGGAAAGTCTTGTTCTGTGCCCAAGGGGTTTCACCATCTAATTGCACTTACAATGGCCAGCAGCTTTTACACCACATAAAATGGATTATGCTTGCACCTTTGTCCATCCTGGGAAATAGATATCCTTTTTATCCTTTTGCTGGTCACAGAGATTTAATTCTCTGTGACATTACATCAGACCTGAGTTTGGCCTACACAGACAGTCAGGAACCTATGGCTAATACTCCCCACTCTCCTAGCACAAAATGAGTTGGAAACAGGAAGAAAACAAAACCRCTGAAGTCAAGGGGAAGACACTACAATATGAGGTAATGTATAAACAGACTGTTCATCCCAGAGTTGGGAGAAGGTAAACAGTAGGAAATGGTGCTTTGCAGGCATCTCTCCTATGCCTTCACTGCTGCACCACAGCTGTAGCTCTCCTTGAGCTGCAGTAAATCTTTGACATTTGGGAACCACCTGAGCTGCACAATGCTCACCTACCTAGGGTGTTTAAGAGGGCCTAAGGTGTGTAGCTGGCAGGGGACTGGAGAAAGCTGATGCTATCACTCAYACTTCATGATGACCACAGCCCTTGGGGATCACACCACACCAACCAGCTGGGCTGCACRCCTGGTTCTCACAAGCAGAGCCTTTGGTAGAGGCATGAAGCACATCTGGAACTCAGGGCTGGGGAGGAACCAACTGAACCACTGCAAGACCTGTTACAACGCTGAGCAGCAACTCAGGCAAAGCAATGCTGAAGCAGCAACTCTTTCTCCTCTGGTACGGATTCATTGTCCCTGAGGGCAGCCAAGGCTGGGCTGGGCGGACAGTGAGATATGGCTGGGAACTTTCCCCTCAGTCTCGTCATGATTTTTGCAGGCTGAGATTATGGATTTAGCATTATGTATTGCCATGAAAATCCAGCAGAGACAGGGATTTCTAGTCCTATCTCCTACCACTGTCAAGCAAAACTTCCTGGATAGAGAGTTTTTGCCTCCACTTATTTATTTTTTTCCTTTGAGTGCAGCCTAAACCATCCCTTCCTGTTGGGAACAGCAGCTGCAGCATACAGCATCAGCTTGCCAAGCCTGTGAGACTGTGAAATATCATTTACCTTGGAGCAAGATGCTATCAAAAAGAACAACTGTGTGGGCCTGACTATGAATTCATTACATAGCTGTGCTTAAGAGGATAAGTTACAGGATCAGAAGCAAAAGAGGTCCCACTTCTAAGCTAACACTTTTGGACCTGAAAGGACACATCTGAAAGYATTACAGAGACAAAATGGGAAATTTGGTTTCCTTGCTCAGAAAAGGACTCGGAGATTTCAAAGGCTGCAGATCCAAACATATTCAMCAGGGCAGGAAGCTGATACTTCTTMTGTAGGTTAATGGGGACATGGTGGCCCAAGAAGACCAAGTAATTGGCTGATGAAAGCCACAAAGCTGACACATACACTTCCCAGCATACCTGCATTATCCCACAAATCTGGAGGAACCTGTATAAATACCACAGGCTATAGATAAAAAATACTTTCAGTTTCTTTCTTGTTGCTTTCACCATCTGGCCTTTTTTGGTGTTTTTTATTTT